TCCTTTTGATGTAAATTTATTCTTCAAATTACTAAATGTAGATGTTGTGAGCTGACAGCAAGGGCATCTTGACGCAGATGGATTGTTAGTAATAATATTCAAACACTTTCCATCGAACAAAGTAGGGTACACTTCAAACTTGACACGAACTTGTTTTTCATTTGATAAAATGAATTTATGAGCAGTGAGAAATTGTATCTCTTTGATCAACCGATCATACTCGACTTTCACGCTATCAGTAGTTTCTTGTTGATAACAAATTCTCACTGGTCTAAAAAATCTCACACTCATGGGAGTTGGGTTTATCCAACTGTGCTCGCCATTTTTCGAGTCAAAAAGCTGAATTACTCCGATGTACGTTACGAATAGTGACAGTTGAGCATTTTTGTTTTCTAATTCTCCATTTTCAAATTTTTGTTGAGGATTTTTATGACCCGAAGAGCTGTCAAAGCCTATCGATACACGCATGTGTAAGTTGCGATATGTATTATTAGGCCATCCGAGCGCTACAGCTTCACATAATCGCTCAGCAGTTATATTGAGTAGCTCTTGCAAACGTACACAAACCTCAATGTCACTCTCAACTTGATAAGCTCGCGGATGACACTTTTTTTTCTCTTGCAGTAGTGCTTGATAGCTGGGATAAATATCGTATCCTAAGCTTTTTGTATCAGATATTAATGCTTCGTATTGATTTTTACTGTAGTCATTTTCTAAAAAAAAACCCAAAGCCGAACTAAGTGTATGTTTTCTTGCCAGTACTTCTTTTTCTCCTTCTTCTTCTGTCTGATCTTCTATGATCTTTTTTGCATTCATCTTTTCTGCCATCGATATCACTTCATCATTGTACTTGGGATCATTCAACAAATCTTTAGCTCGATTTCTTAAAGTAGTTCTTGAAACACGCATCTCACGCACATTGATTTTTTTCCGACCACTGTTAATGACATCTCGTCGGACTTTTTTTGGTCTGCCTCTTCCTTTCGGTTGTTTATTTTTATTCTTTCGGCCCATGGTGAGTTACTACTTATTTGAAAAAAGTCGTGTCTTGAAATACCTGGTGATGTAAGTTTCGTATCGTACAATATTCAGAATACTCATCACGAATTTTCCATTCGTTTACCGTATTACGAGCAGATTTCTTACACGAGATTGGCGAATAAAAATCATAGAAACGCTAATTTAAACTTACCATCAGTTTATGAAACGTCAAATTAGACCATACAATTTTACGGAATTATTACACTCTATTGAACACTGGAAATTATTGATAATCGCAGTTCAATCGTAATGAATATACGTGCTGTAAAACTATTCTCGTACAAGTTACTCACTTGAATGAATGTAAAATGTCTTATATCAGTTTCATCAGGACAGAGGTGAATGATAAAGTCAAGCATGTAAACATTGTATACATTACGATTTCATTCTACTGACCTACTGTTGTACAGTGAAAGAGTTTCTAAGAGAAACTATATAGATATACATTTTTTCAGTAATTTATTTTTCTATTATAAATCTTTCAATTATAAATATCAGTCTATATTTTATGAATCAGGTTTTCAACTATTATTTCAATACTCATTTCGATAGCATCATATAATTTTGTGTATTTTGTAAATCTAAAATTATAGTTTATGCAAGATTTGAAAATGATAGGAGTTTGTGAGTTTGAGATATTTTTTTGATCAAATTAAAAAAAAATTAAAAGTGGTTCAATAAAGGTTCGAATTTCGAGAATTTGTAACAAATTATTTCATGTAAAAAAATGTAGCTATCTCAAATTGTGTGTATACTTCAACGTATTAATGACTTTCAAATTATTATTAATGGTTTCTTGAACTTTTGCCACACATCAAGAGCTTCGTAACCCGTACTAGAACTAAAAACTGTGTTAAGTCAATTAAATCACTCACGATAGGTAAGTGGATGATTTGACGAATATTACTTCGTTGACCTTGAAGTAAAAAAAAAAAACAAAAAATGCTATCTGCCTTGTTTTTTCAAGAGCTACACTTCTGTTGCATTGCTTTTTCAAATTTCATGGTGTAAGTATGTTAGAAAAAATAAAAAAGCTTTATTTTCCTAAAAACTCGTGTTTTGACCTTCGATTTGGAGCTCAAAATTTTTTTTTTCTCGAATTGGACTATTTTTCCCTTAATCTACTTAACAAAAGCTTCAAAATGCCGTTCCCCGATTTTCTCTAACCCTTTTAGATCTTGAGTTATTTGATTTCGTTCAAAGTTGGGCGAAAATTCCTATAGTGCGGCGCGGACTATTCGCACGCTCGCTATCGATAAACTCGCCGTGCTCACTGCGCGGGATCGCACGCAAATATCAACAAATAGTGCAGTGCACCTACCGCTAAGTTGACGAGGATACGGTGGCCAACCGTATCCGACTAACGCACTGCTGTTGAACTGCCTCTGCGGTTGCTGCTCTGCTGTTGTTGTTGCGTGGCTGCAGAAGACGCAGAGGTTGAGCTCGCTGGAGCCGAGGTCGCGTACGTCCAACAATGCGCGCACTCGGCACTCCACACACAATTGTCACTAACGGCGACGGTGCCACACACGTCGTGCAGTGCGTGTCCTCGTACTACCGTGCCGATCGTTGTTGTCGGTCGCCGATGCACACGTTGCGCGGTGTACCCTCCTACCTCACGACTCGCTAACAACGTGCACTGCTCCCTGGATCTCACTCGTAAAAAACACTCGGACTCTCTGTTGCCTCTAACTCGGATGCGATGTAGCTAGACTGAAGGACACAGTCATACTGGCTAGCTAACTCTCCCCTCCCGGTCATTGCCCCTAACGCGCCCTCTCTCTCTCTCTCAAACCGATCGCGGCTGTTACGTTCAGCCGCTTAGTAACCCATGCGAGTCTAAACGATTTTCGGCAATCGTTGCAACATTAATAAAGTACGTACAAATACACATATATACTGCCACATGATGGCAACTTACGTGACTACCTTTCAGCCAATCAAATCTCGAATAAAAGGCTTCACTTGCCAGGCTGTCACTTTTTTATATAGGAATAAACAGAAAAGCTCAAAAATCTTTTAATTATTTTTTTTTCAAAAATGTTTTCTAAGTTGGAGATTAATGATATTGGTCTATAATTTATTGTTAATTATTTTTCTTTCGATTTATATTTTGGTATAGTATCTACGATTTTGAGAACGTCAGGCCAAATTTCTTTTTTATAACTGTGACGTCGGGGTCACTCTCAGGTACGCTTGGAGTAAGCGTAAACTCAGGGTTGCTCTGATTTGGCTATCGTGTAACACATAAGCCGGGACGAGCAATATTGTTGCGTGGAGAAAACTGTATGCTAGCGCGGTACGTAATAACCAAATGTTATTACGAACACACCAAACTCACGCTTACTGTGTTCTTAAGGGACTTTAATGAAAATTCACCAGATTCAAGCTTAATGAATTTCCAAAAAACGGATTGCTTAAAGAAAGAAAAGGATGACCACATATAAGGTTTTACTTACTTTTATTTTATTTAATTACTTATTATTAAGACTGCGCTCTCTCTGCTCTTTGACCTCTTTCTCTCTCTTTCTCTCTATTCTGGATGTAGTTGGGTGACTTCTTAATTGAATTTTGGCTGACTTCTTCAAAATTATCTTCTTTGATGCTTCCTCCAGCACTCACTCACTGGTAATCACTTCTTGTTAGGCACTTCCTGGTGCTCACTCCACTCCTCCAGTCTTGTACAGAGATTTTTATAAGCAGTGGATGGTTGGGTGGAAATCCCTTTCCTCAGGCCCATGAAGCGATAACAGCCAAATTTTGTGTTGGTGAGAAATTTTCTAATCATATCTAGGATTTCTTTATTGGTCTGTGGGCGTGAATTTTCAGAAAGAGAAAGGGCGGTCCCCTTTTAACGTGGGCCCTTTTCTCCAGAGATGGCTCTCGGAGTGCCACTTTGAAGAGCAAGAGTAACGCTGTAGCTTATAATTACTTATACAAAATCGTACTAAACTTAGTTAATTTTAACGATACGTAGTGATTATTACAATAATTCAATTATTATAAATATTTTGAAAAATCCAAAACTTCTACGATTTATTATAAAATGCATTATTGTTCTAATATAAAATTATTTATTGGTTATTTGGTGACTAAAAGATGCGCATTATAATAACTTACAAAATTGATTAAAATCTATTTAATATTACGGATATTTTCTTAAAATTCGGTGAGAAAAAAAAAGATAAATTGCATTTTTATGGCCTTCTTTCATTATCAGCGCGATAACGCTTCACGATGTATACGCGATGATCGTAGGCTCCTGTCAACACATCCGCGTGGGACAAAGCAGGATAGAGCGTCGCAGGCTCGGGCCACTATCAAGTTTTATATAAACTCTTTATCTCGAATGCCTTTTCATCGTGGAAAATCAGGAAGATTCCCGCTCCGTTCTTCATATTTATTTCTATTAATTAATATGGAAAAAGAACTAAGTTACGGCTGTCCGTCACATAACACTTAGTGGTTCACTAATATAATTTGTTAACATTTTTAACACTTAAGTGTTTGATGCCATCGATACCCCTATTTTTGTTTTTCATATAATGAATGATTTTGTTGATTTATTAAGTGTTTGTTTCTTTGAAGAATATATTTTTACTATTTATAACTGGTATTTTTATCATTGCGTTTATTGGTGCATTTATTAAAGAGCAATAAACCAATGGTCTAATCTATCCTACCATCTACTCTTTTCTCTATTATTATCTAATCTCTATAAGAGAATAGATAATCTTTTTTGCCAAAATAGCGAAGACTCTGTAGAATAGGCTCGAATCCAAAGAACCCATAAGAACGTGTTAAGTGACAGTCATGGAAAAATTACAATACCCCACAGCTATTTGATTAATTTTGTTATAAATTTTAAAAAGTTCTTTTTTTCAATTACTATTGAATTGTACAATCATACATCATTTTTTATACTAAAACTTTTAAAATCGTATTTTTATGTATTTTAGTTTCCTCGAGTTGATCAGTCTTCTCTTAAGCAATCTGGTATTGGAAAAGCGGTTATGTATATTTATAAGCATCCAAAAGAAACCAAAGAAAATAAAGAACGTGCTGGTAAACTTATCAATGAATGGGCAAGACCAATTTTTAATTTATCGGCTGATTTTAAAGCTTTGTCAAGAGAAGAACGACTTCAACGAGATTTAGAACAAACTCCCATGAAAAGAAGGAAAACTCAACATGAAATTACTTTACAAAAGTCACAAGATATCAATAAAGCTTTAAAAGGCGATTCCAAGTGAGTTTTTTTAACATATACTATATCATAGTTTGAAAAATAAAAAATAAAATATATAATGATTCGATAGGATTCAGAATTTTAAATTAGAGAAGTTTTAAGTTATTTTAGATACACGTTTACCAGTGAATTTAATTTTTGAACTCCTCATTCCTCCTTTATGGCTGAGAATAGAGCCGAAGTTTTAAATGCAAGAAAAAGTTTACAAAATCTGTATCTTTTTATAAACGAGTTTAAATGCTGCAAAATCTTTATCTGAGCATTTTTATTCTAAACATGCTGTTTTCAAAAAGAAAAGTTTGTGTTAATGTGTTAAAATGAATTAGAGTCAACATTTATGTAGGAATGATTTTTATTCGTAAAATGTCTTTTTCCAGTTATAACGGGAGAGTTTCAACTTTAAAATTTAATCCGCGACTATTTACAAAAATTATTTGCGCGGAAAAAGGGACGCGTGAATGCTTGGATAATTAAGTTCCTATTAAGGAACTTGCCGGACATGCAGGTCGCAACGTTCGGGCTCGTGATAGCTTAAAATCTGGGAAAGAGAGAAAACATACGAAAAATCATCTTGGCAATATAAATAATAAAACAAAATTTATTGCCGGCACATTTGAAAAAATTAAAAATATATTGAATAAGCACAAAGAACAGAAACCCATTTTGTGACCTAGCAATAACGTGCCTTCCACAGCGATCGAACGAGGTGGCATCCTCGGAGGGGAAATCAACGACTGTAGATCGGCATGAATGCTTGCTTGCGCAGCATCGAGCCTCTCTGTTCAACCGTAAAAATCACAAATTGCATAACCATGGCACTAATATTAAGAAATAGCACCTCAGGCGACACTTGCGGAATCCACGCGCGCAATGACAGATGAAAGATAGAAAAGAGAGAGAGAGAGCACAAGTTGCCGAGACATAGTTCTTTAAATCATAATAACAATAACATTTTTGTTGTATATTCCGATATCGTTAACATGCTTCAAAATTTATTGTATTCGTTTTAAAAATAAGTGCATTTTTATGTAATATATACGCTCTCCCAAAGTTTTCAAACAGACGCATTATTGTGTTATATATAAATTGTATCCCTTATGATTTTCGGAGTCTCAGCATAAGCCAGTCTAAAAACTTGCCATTTGGCTGACGAGAAAAAAAAAGGTGTAGATCACAAAGTTATCCTCATTGAATCGCCGTAAATCGGAGTGTACCTGATGTTGCTGGCTGTCACCATTTGACAGATGAATACAAATTTGACGATTGTTGAAAAACTTTGTGATCTTTATGTGATGAACTTATGCGGATGCTTCGAAATAATTTTCTTAATCTACCATGGATGGTATCAAATTAACTATACAATAAAGGCAAGTATATAATAAATAATTACTGTTTTCTTAAAGTTATGAGAGTAAGTCCATAAATCAAGAAAACAAACATAATGACTCAGCTATCATAACGTTTCGCTCGTCTAGTATTTTTCTGTTTGCATTACTGTATACAGATTGTCTTATTCAGGATTTGGAATTATTGCCCTTGATTCCCACCATGGATACTTTGCATTGTAGTCACCTTCCGTTATGAAGGGATTTTTCAGACTATCAAAGTATTTTTTCGAGCAAGTCTGTTAGGAACAATAATAAAACTCCACTTACAGCAAATTGGTGGTAATTATGATGATAAGGAACTTATCAGAATTACGAGTGGTGAGTTTTTTCTTTCGTGTTTTCATTGCTTTCCTTTTCTTTAAAACCATCTAATTAATATTTTTGACTCCAATGTGTTGTTAGGATCTCCAAGCCTCTGTTGTGGGTTTGTCTTTTCTTAATAATTCTGCTTATTTGTTACTAGTGTCATCTGTTCTGGGTGTGAGATAACAGCCATATTAACTGGTTTTATTATTGTAGTTGTGCGTCTATAAATTCTTCAGATTGTTCAATTTGCATTATTTTACAAAAATTTGTAATGTACACTTGCTAGAAATTGTTCGGATTTTGGAGAACGTTTAGTCACACATCCGCATGAAGCCAGCACTACTAGCTGAGTGACTAACAAGAAAAGTGCCCCTGGTGTACCTCACCAATTTTCTTCATTTCGTGATATATTGTAGTACATCGAAAAATATTTGACCCATATCTTTTCGTTTCTGCTATTTCGGCGATTTAAAAGGTGAAAACTATCTCTGGAATATACCCCTAAAACCGGTATTTTTTACAATTCTTGAAAACTATTTTGAACCTCTCACAAGGGAGAGCTACTTGCCCTCTGCCTCCGATTTTTCTGAAACTTGAGAGCGAGGTAGAGTTTTGAAAAATATTTGACACATATTTTTTTTTATCTGTGGGAACTCATATTTGACGAGTGAAAACCACCCTCAAAGTTCACCCCCTAAACCTGTTTTTATTCAATGTCTCAATGTTGAATCAACATTTTTTTACGAAATCCAACGCCTATTCTTATAAAAAGACAAGTATTTGGATAAAGTTTAGAAGCCCGAACGCTCATGTGTACTCGTAAGTATGTCTAGGGATGAAAAATCACCCTTAACCCTTAACTGCTATGTGGGGTAGATTTACCCCAGACAATTTTTAACAATAAATAAAATTTATTTTTTTCTTTTCATCAATTTTTTGCAGTGTGTGTAACATTAAAAATTGTTAACCTGAATTTTCTTTTGTAGTAAAAGGTTTGAAATATACTAGAAAAAATTTTTCTTTTGTACCATGCGTATTTAAAAACATTTTGGAATCTTGGTGAAGGAAATTGGTTATGTGTTAACGATTGAATCTTGATTATATTGTTTCTTTCGTGTAAGTTGACATTGTAATTCATAATAAAGTGTTATGTCAGATAATTTTCTTATAAAGTTCTTCCATAATTTAAATCGATATATATATAAAGAAGCTGTATCTGACCAATTGTGCCTTCTGGTATTGTTTTCAATACGACACTTCTGTCATATAATATAGCTTCGTTAACGGTTTTTTCACATTGTCCGCTCCATGAATCTTATAGCAATATGGATACATTGTTACTGTGAACTAAAAATACATTTTCAATCCAATTTTGAAGTAGTTCCTTGGATAATTTTCCAGAGGTGCTTCTAGGTATATATTTCGTGGTCTAAATAAAGTTTGTACTACTCTAGGTACTAATTCTCCTTTACTCTCTTTTAAAACTATGTATAAATGCGACATGAGCTTTCCCTCTGCTGATATAGTTGACTGTATGGTATAACTATATGTTGTTTAATGTACCGACTGAACGATGTTTTCAACTTTTTTCACCCCTTTATAATAAGGCGTGCGGCCACTATGTATTTCTAAATTAAGCCCAATCTAGTCGGAATTAGAAACGTTTTAAGCACCATGAACTCTTATAAGATTTTTAACTTCGTTAACAAATTTTTCTTTGTTTTGTTCTTGATCTTTTACCTCCTGTGTAGATGAAGTAGTAACAAATTTTATTTTACGTGACACAATGTGATGTTTTTTTGAATAGTTGTATCTATCTATGTGAAGCTTTAAACCATGAAATTTTGATTTCTGCTTTGAAACAAGAGCCTATATTTTTATATAAATATCATGCAAAACCATTTTTCCTTCAATGGCTTCTTTAACTTTTTCAAGTACATAAGTTGTTATTGCATATAGTTTAGTTTTTCTATCTCCTCCTGCTTCAACTTGCGATCTCTACTCTCGCAATTGACGGACGTAACTTTTCTATACTTTGACTGTACATTTGTCAAGGATAGTAATGGCTTTCTTTTTCTACTTTGCCAGTAGTCCACTGCTTATTTTTTATATTCAAAATCTACGCCCCTTCTTCATTCCGTAAACAAGTAGCTACTTCTGCATAAACTTTATATAATTCGCCATCTTGTGGAAATGTATCACTATAGTCTTCTTCAAAGCGTAAAGTATATTCTTCTTCTGTATGCACGTTATAATTGACACTATCCTATATTATATTTTCTAAAAGCCTATATAACGCTAATTCCCCTGTATTAGCCTCTGATTCTTTAACTTTATCGTTGCTAGGATTGAACGTTACAGATAGTAATGCTAATATAACTACTGGACTGATAGCCATTTTAATTAAATTTCAACAAACGAAGATTATTCATTTTGCAATTGATATTTTACTTAAAAAAACTTTATAGTATTTATTATTACATAAGTTTAATAACTTTATCTTCCTTTTTAAAGGAAGTATTATATTTCCCTATGTGATGTTCGTATCGCTTATAAATAAAAATAATTCGAACTCTCGTAATCTAGCTAATGAGTAAGAATTTGTTTCCGATAATTTTACTATAATTGTCAAGAAAATAGATAAATGAAATAAATATAATAAATAAGTAAATCAAATATACATAAGTAATTGCAAAATATCGAGGAAAGTCAGACAATGCCCTAGTTTCTTATGGTGCGAATTGTCCCATAAGCAGAGCTAAAGTCTTTCTTTGATAGGATATAATTCGGCCCAAGTTTCTTATAGCGCGAGATGTTCTATAAGTCGAGCTCAAATTATAAGGAAAGGTTAGTCTTGCTTAGTAAATCACAATGAGAGAAAGAACTTAGGTGTTAATCCAAGTTTATTCAGACTCATGCGCTGACTTTGCAAGGCTAGAAGTGAATAGCCTGTACAAAGGTGGGCCTATTTATACACAGATTTTCCCGTTACACCTAAAACAAAAATATTATACTTAACAATATGTAACGGTCCTATCTATGAGCTAGTTTATTATATCACTGAATCACTGCAACCAGTCTAACGCATCTATCTGTTTATTCAAATCAATACATTAAGCGGCGCTACCTCACTGTTTACTCGATTGTATACATATAAGAGTCAAATCAAAATAAATAGCGTGACGTCACAAAGTAATAGATATAGATATAATGATTTTGGATATTAAGAAAAATATTTTAATTACAGATAATTTTAATATAACAAAGTATTTATTACATAAATTTAAGTACGTAGATTCAGAATAT